AGAAAATTGTTTGTATAAAGTAGAAATTCACTTTTATGTTTATATTAAAAAAAATTTGTAACATCTGTGAGATGTCTGGACAATTTTCAATCCTAGCTTTTTCCTCAATTCTTTTTTGATACCTTTTGGTTTGGTGCATATATATATTACTAAGCAACTTTTTCCCCATGAAAAGACTTTGACACCAACATTCCAAATTCCAATTCAATCTGGAAACAGTGGACAAGAAGAGCCACCCAGTGGAATGTCCATTGCTAAATTATTTATTATTAATTATTATTTTATTAAAATCAAACTGTGCAGCATCAGAGCAACAGATTTAATTTCTGCTCAAAAGACTCCTAAAATTGTGACAGTTATGGTGATGATAAGGATATTAATGATGAAAATTATGATTAAAATGTTGATTATTATAAAACAGATCACAGGGGGAGAGTGAAAGGAAGGATATGAACATTGTGTACTTCTAACTATGCTGTCATACTACTCAAGCAAGTTTCTGGGGGAAATGGCACAATTTATAATTATACTCCATTTTACAGTTGTGTTCTTGGTTGCCAAGCCTTTGAACAGGAGTGAGGCTAAGGGTGACCTTGTCATGATACAAACGTTACTGCTTTGCGAACATAAATTACTTTGTTATCGTGCTAACTAGATGCTAATCTATCACAAAAAGGTCATCACCTTCGGCATCACTCCAAATCAAAGGCTTGTCTACTAAGTACAGCACAACTGTAGAATGGCCTAGTAGAGAAATATCAGAAATAAAATCCTTGCAGGTGAAATGCAGTTTAGGACATTTTTAGTAAAAGAATGTGAGGATGGAGACATGGGATTGAATCTCATCAAAGCTTAAAGTTTTCAAGTCCATTTTTCTCTGATTGCTATATTCCCTAAACTTTCAGAAGTGATTAATATGTAACTTATCCCGCAAAAAAGTGTAGAAAATAGTTGAACTGATCTTTATCTAGCACCAAATTCTTGTTTCTAATTTACAAGGAAATGTGTAACAGCTAGAGGGGCGGATTAACAGTCCTATCTTGGAAGTTAAAGGAATGATTGAATATCATCTGTGAGAATCATTTTCTTTTCATGAATTTTATCTGCTGATCAAAATGTCAGTTTTTCATTTTTAAAATCATGCTTGGAATAGGACTAAGTGAACTTTGAACTTTGAACTTTATTTTTTATTTAGACACGGTCAATCTATCAGATAAAATAATAATATTATTACAATCTATTATTGCAATTACAATCTACTTTAATCTATGTAAACATGATCTAAAATTTAAAAGTGAAATAGAAATG